CAAACGACATCCTCAAGTACCGGAAAGTTCCATAGGGACAAACAAATGCTGTTTTATCCTGATCTGGTGGATAAACTGCAATTTGGTGATAACCAGATCTAAGGTCTAATGCTGACATATAAGGTGTATGCTTAGCCTCATGTAAAAATCCTTCCATTAATGGTTAAGGATCGGGTACAGTGAGGGCATAAAGTTTGCGGTAATCAGTGCATAACTTCATGCTACCATCTGGTTTAGACGCAAGAACCACAGGTGAAGTGTACGGCGACTCACATTCTTCAATGACACCTTGAGCCAAGAGATTGTCTAATTCTTTCCTGAGAATTTCCTTTTTAACAGGCGTCATTCTGTATGGTGGCGTTGTAACAGGAGGATTATTTCCCGTCTCAATACGATGTTCGGCGAATGGAGTAACTTTTCCCCCTAGTTGAAAGCATCTCTCATACTTTTTAAGAAGAGCATTAATTTGATTTCTCTGATCAGGAGTGTAAGACCTTTTCCTTCATCTTTACGCAAAGCAAATGGCTTAACTTCAACCTTCGTATCACTAGCGCAGTCTTGCGGGCAAACCAGGCATTACAGTTTGAATTTAGAATACCTAAATTAGAATTTAAAAATTCATAGTTATTAATCATAGCAACATCATTATATGTGGAATGTGATACGAAAATTAAAAGAGTAATTAATTACTCTGATCATGTGCTGTAGTAGGATCTTCATAATTCACAAAAATGTCTGAAGCCCAAAAAAAAAGGAAATAAATAAATTTAGTTTGAATTTAAAATGCCTAAATTAAAATTTAAATATTCTTAGCTATTAATCATGTCTAATAATCATTATGTATGTAATTATTTCATGTTCAGAGAATCCCATCGTATTATATGTAAACAGCCCAAATATAGGAATGTTTTTGTAAAAATGGTTTTTTCCTCCAAGTAAAATGTAATTGAGGTAAATGCCATTTCATTCTATCCAATATTATGCTTTTTTTATAAACTGTAAAATGACAAAAAATATTTTGAGATAAAAAATAAATAAAACCAATTACAGATTTTATTTTATTTTGTAAAGCAATAGTTAGATTGAAACAATATCGTGAGCAAATACATTATATTTTGACCAAAACTTTTTATAACCACAAAAAGAGAAAATTCATTACCAATATTTTCCAAAGAAATTGTCTCACCTATAATTAATAAATACAACAAAATTTAAAACTTTAAAATTCAGAGGATAACCATAAGCAATAGATTAATTAAATGCTGCCAAAACACAACTTAAGTCTAAAAGTTAAGAAATATTGGAGAAGATTTTTGAGTGCCAGCACCAAATAACTGCTGAGTTTTGAAGAATTGAAAGGAAAGAAGAAAAAAAACAGAGGAGTCTAACTTGTGGCAGATAACTCATCGCTTCCAAGAAAACCTCAACTTATCTATAAACATATACATTTAATTTTTACATGTTTAAAATCTCTTTGGTACCTTAATAATTGTAATTGACAGTAGCAGGTACCGAAACAGAAATATTCCCAAATAGTTCTAATTAAGTAGAATTATGATAAGCTTATTAATAATTTATGTATTTATTGTGAATTTATGACTATAGCAATAAACTATTAAGAAACATCGCTTCTATAACTCGCTTCTGATATCTTATAAAGTTATTGTAGTGCCTTTTAATGCAAGATATTTTTACTATGTGGAAGTAAAAAAAATATACTTCCACATAGTAAAAAAAAATTTTACTATGTGGAAGTGTCCTGTAAAAAATAATGCATGTCTGGTTTTTTTTTTTTCAAATTTAAGTATAAATAAGAAGAACATTTGAAAAATAGCAATATCTTAATTTTTTTTTAAATAATCAAACTAAATACATTGAGAAAACAGTTAAAATGTAGAATAAGGTATCCCTTGAATTGAGCATTTTATTTAAGATCTTTTACTATACATAAATTCTTACATTCTTCTATTATTTCTTCGATTTGTAATTCACATATTCGATTCGTAATTCGATTTCTTATTTTTAGAAAAATATGCCTAGTATTTTTCTCAAGGGTTCCTTTATAGTTTTAACTAGTCGTTCATAGAACCCCCCCCCCACCAAGGGGCACGTTCAACAATGAATTTCCAGTGGATACCCTTGTCTGCGATGAAGTGTTGAAATTCACTGTCCTTCAAAATATTGGTGAAATACGCTAACTCCTTCTGAGCAGCCTTAAACGTACGCGCATTGTCTGAATAAATAATCTTGCAGTTTCCTTTACGGGAGAGGAATCTCCAGAACGCAAGGAGAAAACACTTAGTTGACATATCTGATACAAGCTCTAAGTGAACAGCACGCGTGACTGCACACGTGAACAGTGCGGCGTAAAACTTATGAAAGTCTTGTCTGTCCTTTACGTGTATTGCTCCTGTAAAGTCGATTCCCACAATTTGGAAAGGGGGAGATTGAGAAATTCTGTCCTGAGGCAGCTGTCCACTTAGTTGGTCAGCTGGTTTGGCATTTTTTACAAATGAGACAAAGCCGAATCATTGATTTTGCTAGCTGACGACATTCCATTTGAGGTATCCAATAATTTTTTCGAATTTGAGTCAAAGTTGCCGATACACCACAATGAGCAATACGTTCATGTTCCCTAATCACAAGCAACTCGGCAAATTTACTACTCCGAGGAAGAATTATTGGATGCTTTTCACCCAAGAACAAATCTGCTTCATTTAATCGACTGGTAATTCGCAATATATTGTCCTTATCTAAGTATGGCACTAAAGTTTTTATTTCAGAATTATTTCGAAGTTGCTTATTGTCTTTTAAAGTCGATATCTCCTCTGGATAAAATTCGTTTTGAATACTTTTTATCCAAAATTGTTCTGCATTTTGTATCTCATCCGCCGTGAGACACGAGTTTGTAGATTTATTAATATTTCGAGCATTGTTCACAAATCGTAACACCCAAGCAGTTACCCCTTAAAAGTCTTTTTAAACTGCTGAATCGATTTATGTCGACAAATGGTTCTCTCTGCTTGGTAATAGCCACATGGACATTGGAGCGATGTTCCAGTTCCTTTGAACTTCAGTCCAAATCAAAATTGGGTTGGAGGTTTGGCCATTGATCTGGTGGTTGTTTGAGCCATGCTGGCCCATTCCACCACAAATCACTATGCAATAGTTTGGTAGCGGATGTACCTCGTGAAATAATGTCATCGGGGTTGTCCCGTCCTGGACAATGTCCCCATTGATTTGGATTAGAAAGTGTCTGAATTTCTTCAACGCGATTTTTGACATATGGTTTAAAGGTTGAAGAATCACCACGTATCCAATAATACGAAATAAGTGAGTCAGTTCAAAAATATATATTGCTTTCAAATTTAAGACAAGACGATACTTGTTTGGCTAACCTGGCCGATAATAGGGCTGCAGTCAACTCTAATCGTGGCAGTGTTAGCGATTTCAATGGTGCTACACGACTTTTCGAACAAATAAAACTAGTTTCTATGCTATTACCTGAAGTGACAAACCGCAAATAAAGAACTGTTCCATAAGCTATTTTGCTTGCATCGGAAAAGCAATGCATTTCCAAATTCATTAATTTTTTATTCGATTCACCCAAATAATAACGTGGTATCTTAATATAAGTCAAATCATCCGCCTCACTTCTGCCACTTGCGGTGTAGCTCAGAGGGAAGATCCGAGTCCCAATCAAGTCCTGCAGACCAAAGTTCCTGAAGAAGGCATTTTAATCTAATGACGAATGGACCTAGTATACCGAGAGCATCGATTGGATTGAATGTAGAAGTTTTATGGCACAAGATCCAAAGGACAAAACAAGGACAAGTGGTTAAAATGTGATGAACCGTAAGTAAAGTATTGCAAGAGTCGCATTTGGGAGGAGATTCTCCAAACAACAGATGAAGATGCGTGAGTCGAGTGTGGCCGATTCTGAGACGATTAAGCTTTACATCTGCATTACGTAATCGTAATACAGTTAAGGGGTCTATATATGGTTTGATGTTATGAAGTTTATTTTGAGTTTGAAGGTCCCAATGCTGTTGCCAAAGGGACGAGATGAGCTGTCGAACATGTAGTTTAATGTCTGAGAATGGTACAGATATGGTTAATTCAGTAGTTGCAGATCGTGCTGCAGAATCAGCCAACTCATTCCCTGGGATACCGACGTGACTCGGTATCCAGCAAAATGAAATATCAAGTCCCTTTTTGCGAAGAGCGATTAATATATGATTAATGAAGCATAAGATTGGGTGAGTATCGCTGCGAAAATTTTCTAGCTGGTTCAAAACGCTCTTACTATCAGAGTATATAAAATACTTTCGTTCGGAACGCGAAGAAATCAGCCGCAATGCCAAAAGAATGGCAACAGCTTCCGCAGTGAAGACGGAACAAATGTCTGGGATCTTGTAGCTATAAGTATCATCAGCGATGATGACACCACAGCCTACGTATCCCGCAGATTTTGATCCGTCAGTATATACAGGCACATACTCAAAATATTGGTGACGATGAGAATTGAATATTTGTTGATAAATGGTGGATGCAATATTAGATTTACTGTACAACTTAAAAAGGGAATAAAACTGAGGTGGTGCGATGATCCATGGTGGTATGAGAAGGTGATCTATTGATTGTGTTGGCACGTCACACATGTCAAAAGTTCGAATGAGAGAGCGCACACGAGCATGAAATGGACGGACATATGAAGGTTTAGCGACCGAGAGCATCGAAGATTCGTCCGACTACACGCAAAATTGATCTTTTGATTCTATTTTACGATACAGAAATTTTAAAAGGTCCTTCGGTTCAAAATATATTAGATCATTTTCGGCATCCCACGATAGTCCCAAAACTTTAATTGAAGGTTTGGAATCAGCTAACGTGTTTTTAGAGTGCTGTGTTTCAATACTTTCGTGTTTCCATAACAAAGCGAGATTTTCCGAATTAGTGGTCCATTTGTGTAACAACATACCCGCATCACTAAATATTTGCTAGCACTCCTTGGAAGTACTTAAAGCGTCTTCAATATTATTTTGTCCCAAAATGAGATCATCGACGTATACCGAGCTATTTAATAACTCAAATGTCTCTGGAAACTGTTCCTTGTATTTTCTAAAATGATGTTTCAAAGTCGCTGCAAGAAGGTATGGACTAGGCCTAAGGCCAAATAGAACTCTGGCAAAATTCAAAATGTAGGGATTACCATTCAAGCTATCTGCCCAGTAAAAACGAATAAAGTTTCTATCAGGAATATCAAGTTCAATTTGAAGAAATGCAGATTTTACATCAGCTGTAAACGCTATAGGATTTTCCCGAAAACGTAGAAGTTCCAGAATATCAAAATGTAAGTTTGGACCAGTAAATAAGCTTTGATTTAACGAGGCATACCCATCTTCATGACTAGATCCATCAAACACAATACGCAGTCTACTGGTAGATTTGTCATTGCGTATCACTGCATGATGGGGCAGAAAAAATCCCTTACTATCCCTCAAAGAATCACATGAAGTATGCTCAACTATACCTCCCTTAATGTAACCATCGATTACATTCCTATATTCACAATGCAACTCTGGATCCATCCCAAACCTACAACATAACCTTTCAAAACGCTTACGAGCAATATTTTCATTATTTTTCAAAACTTCTCTCATACCTGGTCTCCAAGGCAAGCTTACACGGTATCTACCATCTACAAAACTAACTGAATTATCAAACTCACTAAGCACCTCTTCATCTCTATTACCTAAAATCACCGAATCCTTGTCAAATATTCCTAAATTTTCTTACTCCCAGAATTTCCTTAATTCAGCCGAAATTAATTTATTTTCATTGATAACCAAATTTACAGACGTACAAACACTATGCTCATCACATTTACCCTGAAGAGACCAACCAAGACTGGTATCAATAGCAACCAGTGAGAAATCCAATCTTTTAATTTGTTTTGTTAAAGACCAATAAAAACCCTGACCAATTAACAATGAAATTTCACAATTTTCAAACAATTCATCATTACTAAATGTCAATCTAATTCCCATTGACACCATTTCCTTCCATGTATTTCGGATTTGGAAGTGTAATATTAGCTCAAGAAATTTCTTCGATTTCCACTGCCTCAATCATTGCCTCATCTCCATTCAATAAATTCCTCAACCTAATTTCTAAGGTGTTCAATTCCGCACACCAAAACAAAAACAGCGGAACACCCTCAACACCATATGAAATCGCACGATATTTTAGTATCACCTTGAAAAATCCTACTATACTACTTCATTCACTAACATTTCTCATTCACAAGGCTCTTCTTTCGTTTCTGAGAGAAGTAGCCTCTGTGAAGAAGCTACGTTCTGGTGACCTATTAGTTGAAGTTTCCTCGTCAAAACAAGCTACTGCTCTCTCCGCATGCACAACTATGTGTTCATTCAATGAAACTGTCACACCTCATAGATCACTAAATACTTCTCGCGCTGTCATATCAGTAGCAGAATTCATAAACGATACAGAAGAAATGATAATAGCAAACCTTCAAAGTCAAAATGTTTCATCTGTCAGAAGGATTAAGATTCGCAGGGATGGTAATGTCATCCCTACGAAACACCTTATCCTCACGTTTGACTCATCTAATTTACCTTATATCCCAACTCCTTTGCATGACCTTTTAACCTAGTTTTAGGCGCGGTATAGCCAAACTATGGCTCTTGCGCCAAAAATTTACAACACTCACCCAAATCCTTTGCGTTGCTATCAATGCCAAAGGTTTGGGCATTCTAAAAAATCTTGCCGGGGTCGACCGGTGTGTGCCCGTTGCTCAAGTACAGACCATAAAGACACTTCTTGCGAGCTGCCACCTCTTTGCATCATCCATTGCAAGGGTGATTGCAACTCCATTGCAACTTTTATATACCATCGCGCTAATGGGCCACTATTTGCTCAACTTGCTCAGGTCACTGATGATATGGTCACACACAATACAATAAGTGCAGCTGTTGATCGTGTTACATCTGCAATTCTACAAGCGGCAGAAGATAGTATACCCAAGTCGTCAGGTTCGCTTCCTCGCCATCGCAAACCGTGGTGGAGTGCGGAATGCGCTGCCGCTTATTAAGAGCAGTGACGCTTGTGGAACATCTTCCGCCGATACCCGAGCACTGCCAATCTTTTAGCTTTTAAACGGGCTAAAGCAATAGCACGTAAGGTGAAGCGCAATAGTCAGAGAGATTCTTGGTCCCTTTAAGTCTCGTCTATAACATCTTCGACATCTCCCAGACAAGTCTTGTCGAGAGTTAAGAGAGCTAATGGCATATACCGAGAATTTCACCTTCCGGTATTCGAGAAAAACGGTACCATTTACTCTTCTCCTGCTGACGTCTGTAATATGCTTGGGGAGACATTTGCTTTTGTCTCTAGTCCTGAGAGTTACAGTACAGCATTTCAATACCATAAGCAGATTGCCGAACGAAATAGCATCAGTTTTGATACACGCCGTCTCTTCCGCTATAACAGTAATTTTAATTTTATTGAACTACAGCGAGCACTTTATCGGTCTCATAATACAAGCCCCGGTCCTGATGGTATCACGCATCATATGCTCCGTCACCTAGATCGGACGTCATTGTCAAATGTCCTCGTTCTATTTAATAGAATATGGACGGAACAAACGTACCCGTCAGGTTGGCGTGAAGCAAGTGTGATACCCATCTTAAAACCAGGTAAAGATCCTGTTAACTATCGCCCCATAGCGTTAACCAGCTGTCTTGGGAAAACATTTGAACGGATGGTCAACTCTCGCTACCTCGCTCTTATACCAGACTTCCAAAGTGGTTTTCGAAATGAAAGATCCACGATTGATAATATTGTTGCTCTAGAGTCACGAATTCGCAATGCTTTTGTCCGACGTAATCATTTTGTCTCTATCTTCTTTGATATCGAGAAGGCTTACGATCGGACATGGCGTTACGGAATTTTGAAGACACTTTACAGCATGGGACTTCGTGGAAACCTACCCATCTTTCTGAAAAGCTTTCTGTCGAAGCTGTATTTTCGAATAAAACTGGGCACTACATTTTCTGATCTATTCATTCAGGCAGAAGAAGTTCCACAAGGCAGTGTTTTAAGTGTCATACTATTCGTTATTCAAGTTTCACAAATCTTGAACTTGCTGCCACCTTCCGTATTTGGTTCACTGTATGTTGACGATCTGAACGTATCATGTTCTGGATCAGACATGCTCGTTATTGAACGTCAACTGCAGTTGACTGTGAATAAAATTGTGGAATGGTGTGAGCATGATGGTCATAGCCTGTCACCTGCTAAAAGCTCTTGCATACATTTTTGTAGATTACGCAGAATACATTTTGATCCCATTATATCGATTCGTAACATTACCATACCTGTTGTATCTGAAACAAAGTTCTTAGGTGTTATATTTGATCATAAACTCACCCTTATGTCTCATATTTTCCATCTAAGAAAGCGGTGTGAGAAAACCTTGAATGTGTTACGCGTACTATCAAATACCTTCTGGAGTACGGATCGTATCGCCCTACTCAGACTGTACAATGCGTTAATACTATCACGAATAGATTACGCTTGTGCAGTCTATCACTGCTACTGCTTCCACCTTGAGACGTTTGGATACAGTGCACCATACGGCTTTACGTATATGTAGTGGCGCATTCCGCACCTCACCAGTAGAGAGATAATGTCATTTGTCACCAATCATCTCTCGATTTACGTCGCATGCAATTGTCTGTAGCCTATTACTATCGTGTGAAATCCTGCAAATCTCACTCTCTAAAACACGATGTCTCTCCATCAAGCTTGGAACGATTGTATGACGCTGAACCTTCATATGTCCTCCATTTCATGCTCAAGTGCGCTCTCTCATACAAACATTTAACATTTGTGAGGTGCCAACACAATCAATAGATCACCTTCTCATACCACCATGGATCACCGCACCATATCAGTTTTATTCCCCTTTTATGATTTACAGTAAGTCAAATTTTGCACCCATCATATATCAACAACTATTCAGTTCTCATAGTCACCAATATTCTGAGTATATGCCTATTTTTACTGACGGTTCAAAATCTGTTGGATATGTAGGCTGTGGTGTCAAAATCGCTGATGACACGTATAGCTACAGGATCCCAGATATTTGTTCTGTCTTCACTGCTGATGCAGTTGCCATCCTTTTGGCATTGCGACTGATTTCATCACGCTCTGAACGAAAGTATTTTATATACTCTGATAGTATGAGCGTATTGAAGCAGTTAGAAACGTTTCGCAGTAATACTCATCCAATTTTAAGCTTCATCAATCATTTATTAATCACCCTTCATAAGAAAGGATTTGACATTTTATTTTGTTGGATACCAAGTCACGTCGGTATACCAGGAAATGAGTTGGCTGATTCTGCAGCACGATCTGCCACTACTGCCTTAACAATTTCTGTACCATACTCAGATATTAAATTACATATTCGGCAGATTATCGTCTCTCTTTGGCAACAACATTGGGATCTTCAAACTCAAAATAAACTATATAATATAAAATCTGATCTCAATCATATACCAGTATTGCATCGACGTAATGCAGATGTAAAGCTTACTCGTCTCAGAATCGGCCACACTCGACTCACCCATCTTCATCTATTGTTTGGAGAACCTCCTCCCAAATGCGACACTTGTAACGTTTTACTTACGCTTCATCACATTTTGACTATTTGTCCCTCTTTTAACCAACATCGTATTACCTTTTTTAATAGCACTATTTTATATATGAAGGATTTGTTAGGTGAAATCCATCATCCTAACATTTTCGCATTTCTGAGAGCTATTGGTATTTTATATTGTATATAGCCGGTTTTATCTGATTTTATTCACTCCTACTTATTATCCATTCACCGTTTTACCTTATATAAATACACCTTTTATTGGATTTGAGTGACTTTTAAATATATTCGTCTCGTTATTGACGGTTTTATTACCTTTATGTATTTTATAGAAATAAAAATGTACTAAGCATTTTACATTTTAAGCTATATTAACGAACTCTTTGGCGCAGCATATCCTCTTTTGGATCTTGTGCCATTAAACTCTACAATCAATCAATCAAAGCGTACTATCGGACATGGAGATACGGCATTCTAAAGGCATTGTTTGATATGGGCCTCCGTGGTCACCTACCTATGTTTATCAAAAACTTTTTGAGTCAGAGATATTTTCATGTCAAACGGTAATGCACTTTCTGATCTCTACATCCAATCTGAAGATGTTCCACAAGGTTGTGTTCTGAGTGTTATACTTTCCATAGTTCATGTTTCCTCCAATCGCCTACAATTTTTGGCTCACTTTATGTTGATGACCTCAACGTCTCATGTTCAGGATCTGACATGAGAATAATCGAGCGTCAATTACAACTTGCTGTCAATATAATTGTAGAATGGTGTGATGAGAATGGTCATACCCTTTCACCTTCCAAAAGCTCATGTATACATTTTTGTCGGCAACGGCGGCTTCACAATGATTCTGTTATTCATATTCATAACATCGCTATACCCATCGTAATTGAAACAAAATTTCTTGGAGTTATTTTCCATCAAAAGCTTACTTTTCTGCCTCACATAAAGCAATTGCGGAAAAGATGCGAGAGACCCCTAAATATGTTACGGGTGCTTTCTTACACGTTTTGGGGTGCTGACCGCACCGCGCTCTTGCGAATTTACCAAGCACTTGTTCTGTCGCGCATTGACTATGCATGCACAGTTTATGGAACTGCTTCGTAACTAAAACGCCTCGATACGGTACATCACACTGCATTACGCATTTGTACCGGTGCATTTCGCAATTCACCCGTAGAAAGCTTGTATGATGTTTGTCATCAACTGCCACTGGATCTACGTAGAATGCAATTGTCCTTGACGCACTACTACATTATCATGTCTTCATCCTCACACCCCTTACAACGTGAGGTTACTCCAATAAGTTTAATGCGCCTATATGACGCTCGACCTTCTTATGTTCGCCCTTTTATAGCTCGTATGCGATCACACATTCAAACATTTGCTATTTTAAATTCACCATCACAATCGATAGACCACCTACTCATTTCACCCTGGACTATTTCACCATATCATTTTTATTCACTATTTGATGTGTCTAAAAAATCACTTGTAATAATTGCACTTTCCATTATTTAGTATGTAAAATATATACTATTTTTAATTGTTAAGAATACAATGGATTAACAGTTATTCTAGGCAAAATTATTATAGGATTTGTTAATTTTAATGCATACATAAAGTTGGTATAGGACACTTCAACAGTTTTTTAATCTATCACAAAATTAAGTTCCATAAACGGACTTAAGTATAAAGCTTTTTAAAGAGACAAGTAATTCTTTTACTTTAAAAAATTTATAAATTTTACTATGATTTCCAATTCTAGGTTTTTTTTATTATCACTTATAATGATGAGTGAACTATAAGTAACTGTTCTTGTCTTTCAATATTAACCAAATTAGCTTTAGTTATATCAGGATACTTGGATAATAAATCAAAATATTTCGATGTTTTATTTTCAGTGCTTAATGTATTTTCTTCTTGTATAGTTGTAACTTCTCCCGTGATTAATAGTTTAGTTACACCATCAATTAATTTTTTATTATGTACATCTATCAAGAATTGAAAATTATTTAAGAAATCTGCCCCCAGTATTCCTCTTGCAACCTTAGCTACTACAAATGGCCATTGGAATGGACGTCTTAGTCCCAAATTTAAATTGAGCATCTTAATACTAAATGTAGGTATCTCTGTACCATTTGCTGCATGTAACTTAAAATCAGAATTTTTAATGTCTCTATTTGTTCATGGAATAATAGACACTTCCGCACCATTTCCGAGGAATTGACAACCACTCATTTTATCTTTGACAAATAACCAGAATTTACGACCATACACTGTGGCTGTAGGACTTGCCGCTGAAGCTCGTTTTCCGGCACTTTCCAACTACAGGGCTGTACACATTTGTAGGGGAAACAAAACTTGCCTTTGGGATCAAATCTTTGACCAGATTTGCTTCGACTTCTGTGACGAGTTTGAGCCCTCACAAATCTGCGAGCACCTCTCTCCAATTTCAGGCTTGAAACCTCATGCTGAAGGCTGGTGATCTTTTCCAAAAGTGACTGCATAACAGTAGGCGTTTCTTGCACTTCTGCTATGTTATGAAATCGTGGACTGATTTCGGCAATCCTATCAGCCATTTTAGCAAGTTTTTGTAATTTCTAGGAATCATCACTTACAGCTAATATGCTTTTTACGCTATCCGGCAATTTGTCCATCCAAAGTGTATGAAGCACTTTATCAGAAATGACATCGATCAGCAATCTTTTAATTTTTTTGTTTTCACTTTCTATAAATGTTGACAAAAGTCTTTCTTTCGCTACGGTGTACTTATTTGCGTAGCATCTTTGATAATGTCCCAAATGTTTTCAATAAAGCGTGATTCCAATTGAGCCTGTTGGAATCCCGGATCTGAAACTGTAATACATCCTGTTGTAATCACATAAGATCCAAAATGATCCACAATGCGGAAGTTTACGCAGCAATGACGTTAGCGGAAGAAACTCTCACTTTCGGTGACTTGTGCTCTCTCCCCGTTTCGGAACAAACCCCCTGGCGCATTGATGGAAAGTGAAATCGCTTCAATAAAAGAAAATGATTTCGAGTAAATAATAAAATAATATCATTCGGAAGTGCCTTTATCAAAATCGGAAACGAAAGTGTTCCATAACTATCAGGTTCAATACCAAGGGTTTTCAAAGAATTAATTTCTAAATCACAAACATCATAAATATTCCTCACCGAATTCACATCGCTCGAATTACGACATGTTGCCATATTAAACAGCGTAGAAATATGTCTGTCTATAATCAAATCCTTACGCCCGAACCTTTCTTCTAATATTTTAATTGCTGAGTCATAATTTTCATCTGTAGTCAATAAACCAGCGATCGCTTTTTTGCCATCTTTGGTCAAATACGATTTTAAATAACAAAGTTTTTCTACTTTGACAATGGATTATTTTCATGAATGGAAATCATACATCTTGCCCAAAATTCAGGCCATTTAATTATATCACTATCAAATTGTTCAATTATTAAGTGTGGCAATTTAATCGTTCGTTATTAATGTTTATGGATGAGGCGTTATTAGATACCAATTGTGTAGAGGTTAGTTTTGCTTTAGCTCGATTTAATTTATTCTTACACAATAATATGTTCTCTTTATAATTTTCGACGGAAGGTTAATTCCTTTTCCAAATCTTCCCATGCAGCAGAGATCAGTATTAATTACGTGAAAATAACGTGCCACGAGGTTTAGAGCAAAAAAACGTTTATTCAAAACGTTTTATTTCCGTTTCGAGTGGTAGTCTCGAATTAGGTAAAAAAGCGTTTATATTTGAGTTGTTTTTAACTTAAAAATGACCATTTTTCCCCCGATTTCGACTAAGGTGAATTTCGTAACCAATTTTTCACGTTATTTTAACCAAGCAGATTTCTTTTTTAACGTATTTTTTACGTTATTTTAACCAAAATATTATCGTTTATTATCGATTATATATATTTCGTTTTTTTTACCCGAATATTCACGTATTTTTAACGCTTATTTTTATTATAGGGAATTTCGTAACCGATTTTTAAGGTAAATTACTATTTACGTTACAATATTCCGTTATATAATTATTTAACTACAACCATTCGCTATATAAATTTAGTTTTCCTTACTATGAATATTTACGCATTTTTAATGCTTTTTATTATAGGGAATATTGTAACCGATTCTTAACGTATATTTAGCGCTATTTCACCCAAATTTATAACGTTTTCTTTGTATGACCATTTCATTACTGTATGTATGCCTATGTATTCTTCCGTTACAAATCACATTATATATATTTAACTTACTGCCGCTAACACAAATCATGCCTAATGCTTTCAGTTTCTACATTTCGATCAATTTTATATCCAAGAAACATCAGAGAATTAAAGTCTTTTTTTTTCTCTCTGTCATTGCATAGTTAACTAGCAAACGTTGATTTCTTTACAAGATTCTTTATTTTCATTGCATCAATTCTAATTTTTTGGAGTGGAATAATTTAATATTCAACTAATAGAATGCATTCTCTTCGATATAGTTCTTAATGGAATTAGGACTAGATTCTGTAGAAAAGAATATACCACCATTCACCCTTGTTCAGCTTTCATATACTATAATAATTTTTTTTCATTGAAGTCTTTAGTCAGTGATAGATTTAAGATTTTCAGTGTAAGATTTACTAAATACTAATGTTCTAAAATATAAACTAATAATTAGACATACCATTAGAATAAGATTAACTTAATTTCAAAACAAAGTTTCAGAATTAGTAAAAAAAGGGAACACTCAATCATTTTTTAATAAAAAACTAATTTTTTTATGCAGATCAAAATACTTTTTTAATACGGAAATTTATTTTTTTATACAGAATAAAAATAAATAAATAAAATTTATTTTTTTAAACGGATGAATTTTTTAGTCGGCATTTCGCTGCCTTCAGCCACATTTTAATGGCCTCCTCCACCCTGCTGACGGTGTTGACCTGCTCCTTCGAACTATGATGCAGAGCAGCATCTGGAAGCAAAATTTATAATTGTAGAACATGAAAAGCAAAAATTTTGAAATATAATAAAATAAAACCAACCATACATTTAATATGAATTTGATTGGAATGATACACTGTAATTAATAATATAAGTAATTTATTTTTTTAATAATTTTTCCTTAAATTATGCCATTAAAATATTACTTTATTAAAATTTGACTAATGTGTATCCGACTGCCACTTCACAATCACAACATTATAATAGGTCATTTGGTAGGAATACCATCACTTGTCTGGAGCCTACATTCCTCTCCAATACACAGACATATGGGAATATCTACTTTTTATAACATTCTTTAAATTTTTCAAAATATATTTTAAAACATAAATAATGCTTAAGCACTATTTTTAATGCAGTTTCAAAACCAATATAATTTTGCAGCAATAAAATTTTTATTAATTTTTGCTAGACACCACCTGTAGAATATTTTGACTAACAATAGATCGTTTCATAAATTTACATAATTAAAAAAAAAAACTGTGTATTCTCAATGTCTGATCCAGAATTGAACAAAGTCTCTACCAATAGATTTATCACAGCTATTGATTGGGTTGCGTTATTTTTTATTATTAAAGGATTTTCACTTGTCTTGAAAATGTGAAATCTTAATATTTCTTCAGCAATAGCAAAATTATAGAATGTTTTAGCATTCTTTGTCGTAATTAATATACAGTTTGTGGTATTTAAATTTGTTGTAGTTAGAGAACAACACACTTAAGGTTTTATACTTGTATCATTAAAACTGCTATATACACATGCGCACACTCATATATACCCCATGACATTTGAAAATATATCTTGAGGGTAAATATTATTTTTAATAGCAGAGAACTGGAACAAGACGGTTTAAAACAATTAGAATTTATACAAAAAATAATATTAGAATTAAAGAGATAAACGTAAGTCTCCATAAATTGAGGTGGTTTATCAAAATCGTTTGTCTATCTAGATTAAATGAATTATCAAAAGTCCAACTTTTACAGACTAAATTAAAAACAAAACTCTATCCTCCCTAAGACCACTTTTAAAGCTATAATATTGAGTTAACAAACAATATAAGTGCAACTTACTAACAACATCATCCTTAACCGCGAGGGTGGAAAAGGCCATCTTGTTTCCTCGTCCAGCCCAATTGAAAGATGGGGCAACATCTTTTGAAAAGATTTGCCCCATTATGTTCCGCGTAGCTTTTTCAATGTTCCTCCCTACTACAAGGACCAAATAATTTATCTGAAAAAAAATTGGACGAAAAAGTTAATACAAAATATTATTGCAATATTTAAATAAACTATAGTTAGTCTATAGAAAGAATTCCTCTCGCCACAAAGTTTAAGGCCAACTGCTGATATGGAAGAAATAGTTAAATCTCATAACAGTCACTGCTGCAGACGGAGAGTGAGGTGAGCTCTTTCTATAGATAAGACTATAAAATATACAAAGCAAAATTTAGGCAGTAGTAAGGCACACAAAATGTTTGCTGTAAAAAATTAGATTAGCTTTTGGAAATTTCAACACGCACCCCTTTACAAATTCAAAATTTCAATTCGGAAGAAAATCAAAAATATATGAAATTATCCCATGCAGGGTTGCCACAGAATAAAAATGAACAAAATAGTTGCTTTTAGTAGCCCAGAGCATGAAAATAGTTGCCGAAAACTATAAAAATAATTGCCTAAATAAGAACAAAAATAAGACTAAAATTTTATTAAATGACTTAATCGTCATATACCATGATCCATTTAGTCAAGTTGGTGGCAAATATGATAATTTTTATGTAAAAGTTAGTGTTCTAGCACTAAATTTTTATATTAAAAAGAATTTGTATATTTGCAGAAAATTAAATACTTTTAATTACTAGAATTCATTCAAAAAATACTTTTTCATTAAAAAAAACACACTTATTCTAAGAACTTTTTCCATCATTGGTATGCGGCCAAGGAACCGGGCTCTTCACTTGTTCATGTAGGTGATAGAGCATCTCAAACAGCTATTTCCAGACTGGCAAGCGGACACACGAACAGTCTCTCGTACTTTAAAGGAAGAAAGAATTATGCAGTCTGCTCTAAATGTGAAGCCCAGCAGGCCTCAGCAGAACATATCCTCGACTGCTTGGGCCTTTCCAAGGAGGACTTATATGCTTCTCCACTTCTTGTAATCGACTTTTTGAGGGTCAACAACTTACTGGATCTTGTCTGACCTCGTCAGACAATTAGAGGATAAGCAACAAAACAACTTTTTCCGTTGATGAATAATTGATTTAGCAAATATATATACTATATATATATATATTGTGAAAAGTGTTTACTCAAATTCAAAATTCATGCATCGTAATATAGTATTAAAAATTGGATTTTTTAAAATCGTGCAGAATTTGGTAGCTAAAACCGTTGAAAAGATGATCGAGAAACAAAATAGTCTTACGACAGAATCTGTTCAAATTGAACGCATTAAAAAATGATGACTTAAATTAGCAATCTAAAAATTTTTTTTTTAATTATTTATTTAATTTTTGTAAATTTATTATTTTTATTTTTTAAGAAAAGAAATTCAGTGTGTTCAGAGGATTTCGCGAGTGTCGCAAGTTTTCAACCCAATTTATGCTAAAAAACATTACTAGGAGTACAGAAAAGTCTCCTTTTCTTGAAAATAGTTGCTTTTTTAGCCTTTTCGGACAAAAAAAAGTTGCCATAGTCGCCTCATGCTGAAAATAGTTGCAAAAAATTGTATTTTAGTCGCCTGTGGCAACCCTGCCCATATCTTTCACCCAGTAGGCTAAAAAAAATATTGTTTCCTTTTAATGTTTCAGTAATAGTTCAGTTGTTCCCTTTCTCCATAAATCTGAAAAGAAAAAATCTGCAAAAGTCATCCATTGAAGCATTTGCTACCATGATGTTAATTTTCAGCTTTAATAAAATCAACAAATATTTAAAAAAAAAAAAAAAAACATGGATTTCAATTCGCAAATTAAGTCAGTAGAAAATAACGACAAACTCAATGCAAAATATCTCTAATAATTACAAGTGAGAGTGTAAGGTAAATTGATTACTTACAAGTGAACATCTATTTGCTTTATGCAAAAGCCACTGCTCCAGCTGCTGGACTTCAGCTTTTAAGGGTAGCTGAGGTGCTCCCCCTCCGGCATTGGCTCTCTTGAAGGAGCACCGGTGGATCTTTTGAGATCCTCCAACATCTCCTCCCCGTTCTGTTGGCTCAAGAGTATCTTGTTCAACATGGAGAAATGCTTCTTCTTAAATGCTGAAATAAAATAATTTGTTATAATTAAAATTCATGATTATGACAAATCTCATCTCTATATACATCGTAATTCTACAGTCCCTGGCCTAATTATTAGACACACTATAAAATTCAACTATCAGGTGATACTATACAGCCTTATTGTTTTTACGCAGCTTCAACCGGTTTGCAATTGTTTATGTCTGTGTATCAATTAGTTAACATTACAATGCAACACAATCAAAATAAATACAAATAAGCACAAAAAAAATCTACTGAATAAAAACTCATTATGTCGAAACTCATGTATGTTTAAATATACAAGTATTGCTTATATACTCGTGCAAAACTAGCAATTATTAAAACACTAAAGTGTGTCTAATAATTTGGTCCAATTATTATAATATACTAATGCAATACATGATAATAAATATTCTATATTTATATAATATATGGTATAATTTATTCAATCTTTGAATCTACATTATATATCGTCCAATGTAACAAATTAATACAGGAACATAAACAAGAGCAAACCGATTTTAGCCATGTAATAAGAATAAAGCTGTATAATATCAGGGGTCTGTCTAGGTTTTTCTGAGAGGTACCTATTTTGTGAAAAATGATATTAAAAAATCAACACAAAAATATGGATTTATCGTTTCTTAAGGGATACACAAATAAAATTTTAAGAAAAAGTATTTTGTGAAGCTACCATTTTTCCAAAAGTTGAATTTGTGAAGGTACCATACCGCTAAACGATTGTAAATTCGGCCTGGACAGACCCCTGAATATCACCTGGTGATTAAGATTTCACATAGAATCCTATAGTGCATGTAATAATTTGGCCTGGGACTGTTTATCTCACAAGTTATCACCCCTGAGGGGGTTTACCTTCTTTAGGTAAATACAGGGAGTCACGCCCCGGGGTACCCTAGTGATCTATCCTCCCTTCCGTTGCCTCTCCCTTTTCTCCTCCTTTCTCTTCCCCCTTGTCGTGGTTGCCGAATTTACTGGTAAAGGCTTTTTGTTTGTGTTCGATTACCACCCTGCTGTATCGAACCCAGATGGAAAGAGACCACCCGCGTGTTTGCCGTGCGTGGAGACCCGTGTCCCTGGAAAAGGGGATCCTAACAGTTGAGGGGCATCTTGGTACCCCAATACACTGCTTTGGCCCGTGCTTCAGGTAAACGGGAGGTGCATATTGGCCTGTATGCATCAACCGGCTAGTCACGACCGTCAACTGTTGACTAGGGTCAAGTCCGGGGTCACTTACTAGGCATCTCGTTAAGGGTGGAGGCTGCTTCAGGGGTGACTCGCGGACGTATAGCTATTGGTTAGCATCGGTGTCAGGTAACGAATTTTTGTTACTTGCATCCCCTTAGTAGGACTCCGTGGTGGGTGATGCCGCTGGTAGTAGAACTGTTTTTATTTTCTATGGCTGAAGATAGTACGGTGTTGAGTTCCGCACACCAATGCAAAAACAGCGGAACATTCTTAGCACCATGTGAATACGCTCGTTACTTTTTGATGAATCTGACAAACCCAAACGTACCTAATACCTCATTTACCCACGTATCTCCATTTCTGATACATAAGGCTCTTCTTTCCATTCTGGGAGAAGTTGCCTCAGTAAAAAAGCTACGCTCTGGTGACCTCTTAGTTGAAGTCTCCTCTGCAAAACAGGCAACTATTCTGTCAACATGCACCACCATGTGTTCATTTAATATAACAGTAACACCTCATAGATCTTTAAACACCTCTCGTGGCGTCATATCAGAAACAGAATTTATAAATGACACAGAAGACATGATATTAGATAACCTTCAATCTCAAAACGTTACATCTGTTAGAAGGATTAAGATTCGCAGGGATGGTAAACTCATCCCTACGAAGCACCTTATCCTCACTTTTGCGTCTGCTAAATTACCGACTGAAATTAAAATGGCTTGGATTAACTGCCCGGTTCGGCCTTATATCCCAAATCCTTTACGTTGTTACCAATGTCAAAGGTTTGGGCATTCGAAAACATCTTGCCGAGGTCGACCGGTGTGTGCCCATTGCTCTAGTACAGAGCATGAAGACACTTCTTGCGAGCTGCCACCTCTTTGTGTCAACTGCAAGGGTGATCACGCAGCTTACGCCAGAAGTTGTCCAAAATGGTCACAAGAAAAGGAAATTCAGTCAATTAAAGTATTACAAAACTTAACATTCAACGAAGCTCGCAGAATAGTTACGGCCCGCACTCCCCGTCCGGGTGTGTCCTATTCAGCAGCAGCTAAAACTTCATATCGCACAGTAAGTACGCAGACAGATTCCTCAATATCATCTACCCCACAACAAACAAAACAAAATCCAAAATTTAATTTTACCGGACCATCTACCTCTCACAGATCTGTATCCAAATCTCCACCTCCAAAAACATCTCGAATGACATCCCCAGAAAAGCCTCGTCCTGCTTTAAAGCAGCGTCCGAATATAAAGTTGCCACCTAGCCTAAAACCAGGTATTCCTAAAAAGAATAAAGACCCAAAATTCATACAAATCGCTAAAAAGTCCACTTCAGATATCTTGCAGAAGATGGACACAGAAATAACACTACATCCATCGGATGACGAATCGGTTTTCGACGACCCACCGATGGATGTTACGTCTAAATCAAAATTTAAATCCAAAAGTTAATGGCAAGTTCCATTATCTCTTGGAATTGTCGCAGTGTGCGAAATAAAATCTCAGACATCAGAGATATAATTTTTAAATATCAGCCATCATGTTTTTCATTCCAAGAAACTCATTTAACATCCTCTGATAATTTTAATGTTCATAATTATGCATGTTACCGAAACGACCATGACGCCGGTAGTAGACCTAATGGTGGTGTCGCGATTTTAACATCAACAAGTTTTCCATCAATTCGTCTTTCATTGTCAACGTCATTACAGTCTATTGCAGTTAAGATTCATATAAACATTACGATTAAAGTGTGTTCAATTTATATACCTCCACATGCTTTAGTTTCACAACATGATTTAAACTCATTAATTCATCAGCTGCCTACACCTTTCATTTTGCTTGGGGACTTTAATGGTCACAATGAACTATGGGGTAGTTCCGACACAAATGCTAGAGGGCATCAAGTTGAAATGCTCATCCATGACCATAATCTATGTTTACTGAATCAAGGTGAAGACACTCACTTTCATGAACCAACGCGAACTTTTCATTGCATTGATCTTGCTTTATGTTCACCTGCGCTTTTACCCTTTTCAGAATTTTCGGTTGACAATGATCTTCATAATAGCGATCATTTCCCAATCATTGTTTCATATACATCTACTGCTTCAACCACTACAAGACCCTCTACATTTATTTACCATCGTGCTGATTGGAGGCTTTTCGCACAGCTTGCTGACATTACAGAAGATATGATATCAGATGAAAATCTTGAAGCTGCTGTTGAAACGGTGACTTCTGTGATCATCAACGCTGCACAAAGTAGCATACCAAAAACATCAACTTCTCGTCCCCGGCATCGCAAGCCATGGTGGACTGCTGAATGCTCCGCAGCTCACAAAGAGAAACAGAGGCTATGGAACATCTTCCGTCGGTATCCTACAACGGACCATCTTGTAAATTTTAAACGAGCTAAAGCGATTGCACGCAGGATTCGGCGACAAAGCCAGAGAGAATCTTGGTCACGCTATGTTTCATCCATCACATCTACAACATCTCCCAGACAAGTCTGGTCGAGGGTCAAGAAAGCGAATGGTATCTACCGTGAATTCCATCTTCCGGTATTTGATTTAAACGGTATCACGCACTCTGACCCTGTAGATGTGCGTAACATCTTGGGTGAAACATTCGCTGCCGTATCTAGCATTGACAGTTACAGCTCAGCTTTTCAAGCTCACAAGCATAGAGTTGAAGCCCAGACGCTGCAGTTTACGACTCGACGGCAGTTTCAATATAATTGTAAATTCACTTTTCATGAATTGCAGCGAGCATTGTCAAAAGCACCCAATACGAGCCCCGGACTTGATGGTGTATCATATCACATGCTTCGCCATTTGACTTCTGCATCTTTGCAGAATATCCTGTTACTTTTTAACAGATTATGGACGGAGCAGACATACCCATCTAGTTGGCGGCTGGCTCTTGTGATACCAATTTTAGAGCCAGGTAAGGATCCGACGGAACCAATTAACTACCGCCCGATAGCGCTGACTAGCTGCTTCAGCAAGGTATTCGAACGTATGGTCAACTCTCGCTTGGTTTACTTTTTGGAGAAGAAAAAACTCATCCCCGACTTTCAAAGTGGTTTTCGAAAGGGCAGGTCGACCATTGATAACATTGTTGCATTAGAAACACGTATCCGGAATGCTCTTGTCCGACGTAACCATTTTATCTCTATCTTCTTTGATATTGAGAAGGCGTACGATCGGACATGGAGATACGGCATTCTAAAGGCATTGTTTAATATGGGCCTCCGTGGTCACCTACCTATGTTTATCAAAAACTTTTTGAGTCAGAGATATTTTCATGTTAAACTGGGTAGTACACTTTCTGATCTCTACATCCAATCTGAAGGTGTTCCACAAGGTTGTGTTCTGAGTGTTACACTTTTTATAGTTCATGTTTCCTCCATTTTAAACATTCTACCCCCTGCAGTTTTTGGCTCACTTTATGTTGACGACCTCAATGTCTCATGCTCAGGATCTGACATGAGAGTAATCGAACGTCAGTTACAACTTGCTGTCAATAAAATAGTAAAATGGTGTGATGAGAATGGCCATACCCTTTCACCTTCCAAAAGCTCATGTGTACATTTTTGTCGGCAACGTCGGCTTCACAATGATCCTGTAATTCATATCCATAACATTGCTATACCAGTCGTTATGGAAACAAAATTTCTTGGAGTCATTTTCGATCATAAGCTTACTTTTCTGCCTCACATAAAACAATTGCGGAAAAGATGCGAGAGATCCCTAAATATGTTACGGGTGCTTTCTAACACGTTTTGGGGTGCTGACCGTACCGCGCTATTGCGAATTTACCAAGCACTTATACTGTCGCGCATTGACTATGCATGCACAGTTTATGGTACTGCTTCTGCTTCGCAATTAAAACGCCTTGATACGGTGCATCACACTGCATTACGCATTTGTAGCGGTGCATTTCGCACTTCACCCGTGGAAAGCTTGTATGCTGTTTGTCATCAACTGCCACTGGATCTACGTAGAATGCAATTGTCCTTGACGCACTACTACCGTATCATGTCTTCAGCCTCACACCCCTTACAGCATGAGGCTACTCCAATAAGTTTAATGCGCCTATATGATGCTCGACCTTCTTATGTACGTCCTTTTATAGCTCGCATGCGATCGCACATTCAAACATTTGCTATTTTAGATTCACCATCACAATCAGTTGACCACGTACTTATCTCACCATGGACTGTTTCACCATATCATTTTTATTCTCTATTTGAGGTGTCTAAGAAATCTCTTGTATCACCAACCATATTTCAACAACTTTTCCGTTCTCATCGTCATCAGTTTTCTCATTATGTTCCGATATATACTGATGGCTCAAAATCTCCTGGATATGTTGGCTGTGGTGTCATCATTGCTGACGTCACAAACAGCTACCGAATTCCTGATATATGCTCCGTTTTCACTGCTGAAGCTGTTGCTATTTTATTAGCATTACGACTAATTTCTACACGCTCTACTCGGAAGTATTGTATATATTCCGATAGTATGAGCGTTTTGAGCCAATTAGAAAAGTTTCACTGTGATACTCATCCAATTTTATGTTTCATTACTCATTTGTTAACTACTCTTCAGAAGAAGGGATTTGAAATTTTATTTTGCTGGGTACCAAGTCATGTTGGTATTCCAGGTAATGAACTAGCTGACTCAGCTGCACGATCTGCCACATCTGTTTTAACATTGTCCGTACCCTTCTCTGACATGAAACTACATGTTCGAAAAATTGTAAAATCATTATGGCAAGAACAATGGGACCTCAAAGTTTTTAATAAACTCCACAGCATCAAATCTGATTTGGACCATTTCCCAGTACTTCGATTGCGTAGAGCAGATGTAAAACTAACCAGTCTTCGAATTGCTCATACCCGGTTGACACACCTCCATTTGTTGCTAGGAGAACCCGCTCCTCAATGCCGTGGTTGTAACGTTCCTCTCACAATTCATCATATTTTAATAACATACCCATGTTTTAACCAGTATCGGTTAACGTATTTTGGAAGTTCTATTTTATGCATGCAAGATTTGTTAGATAATATTCATCATCCAAACATTTTTGCGTATTTACGTGCTCTTGGTATTTTTAACTGTATATAAATGTTTTAATACATTTGCAATTTTATTCACTTTACTTACTTCATGTATTTTATTTGATATTCACACTTTTATCTGATTTTATTCATCAACTTATACAATTTTATCAGTCATAATTATACGAATAACTAAGTGATGCACGCATCATGTCTTATGAACTGTTTTTACCGTATTGTTTGGCGCAGCATGTCCTCTTTTGGACTTTGTGCCACTAAACTCTACATTCAATCCAATCCAATCCTCACAAATTATCAAAATAAGAGAAATTAATAATTGATAAACTTAAAAACTTTCTTTTAATTTAAGCTGAAAATTACGAAAAAATAAACATTTAATATTCATTTTTGAAAGAAAGGATGTATTTAAAAATAACTTTAAAATCGCCTAAAAAAATTTATTAATATACCTTGGAAAAAAGAAACTTACAAAAATTTAACCAATGGAGAATAATCATAATAAAGAAAATATTTGTCATGGTATAGTCAGATTTAAAACTGTAAAACATATAATTTTACCAGTGAATAATTATTATTTAAGCAAAGAGTATTTACTTTTAAATGAAATATGAGTAAAAAAGTAACATTTTTATGGGCTGACATCTTTATTTTTACAAAAAGTGTACACAGAAGAAGCAGAACACCAGTGCTAGAACAGAACACCTGTGTCTAAGTATCATTCAAACTTTGGTTGTATTAACTAACCAAGCAGTTTAGCTGAAGGTTGCATTAAAAAAAATTAAACATATTTAAAATGAGAAAAATTAAGAAAATATTTCAAAATAACTCTAAGCAACTTTGACTTGCTTACCTTCAAATTCCTGCTTACTGACCCATGCTTCGAATGGGGCGGCACTGCTTTCAGGAACCAGGTTAACTACACTGGCACCAGGAAAGACAAGCGACTAGGGGGAGGACGATTCCATAATGTTAAAAACTTAGAGTTTCGACGGAAGAGTAAATATAGGGAAGAAGGGAAATTACGCTAAGAATATTGGGGATTTTTCCATTCGCATCCTTGGTGTATTGGCTAAATTTCAAAGGTTTGCCGTCACCGTTCGCATTTGTTTATGTTTATTTTTTGCGACGTTTGCTGTAATTATTGAACTCGTATAAAATATCTTATTCATTGAATTTTTTCGTTATATTTTTGTTTTTATTATTGTTATCTGTTTTGCTTTTGTTGTTTTAACATTTTTTTTCTTTAAAGTTAGTTGTTTTTTTGTTATTTTAAATTTGGGTCTTTGCGATCTGCTGTTTAAATGGATGATATTCAACATAAATGTGTTGAATGTGAGAAGACATATTCAACGAGTTCCAACTTGTATAAACATATACGTCTGAAGCATCCAGACAAAAGTTTAGAGAATATGCCGTTCGGATCACGATCCGGCATCAAATGTGCTGTTTGCAATGAAACATTTCCGTCTAAAGCGAAAATGGAATTTCATGTTGAACAGGTACATGATCTTAAAATCCAGAAGGAAATTTTTGAATTTTCTTCGTTCGACTCATTTTCTTCATGGAAAGGAAATATTGAACTTGAAAATCATGCTATGTTTGTCCAAAATTCTTGATCTAAAGATAATGGTAGTTTTAAAACCACCTACTACTATTGTCATCGAAGTGGAGTCTTCAATTCAAGAGGTATTGGAGAAAGAAACATTAAATGTATGGGCAGTAACAAAATTAATGCTAACTGCCCTGCTATGATGAAGGTTGTCGAAAAAAAGTCAGTTCTTACTGTTGAATTCACAAAAACGCACATAGGTCATAAAAATGATATTGGGAGAATGAAGCTCAGTGACCAAGAAAGAAATGTTATTGCTTCGAAATTATTGAACAAAATTCCTATTTCAGTTATATTAGATGATATCCGTGAATCCCTTACTGATGAATTGCAGGCAGTCCATCTCTTGACGAGAAAAGACATTTTAAATATAAAAAATCAGTACAATGTTTGCAATGGCGTTCTTGATTCCAGTGATGCTGTGAGTGTGGAAACTTGGGTGGAGAATATGAAAGGCAGTGAAGGCTCTCCAGTTGTTTTATACAAACCACAGAGTTCAACGCATGATATATTAACACCAGAGAACTTCCTCCTGGTCATAATGAACCCTTCTCAAACTCACATGTTAAGTCAATATGAAAATGATGTGATTTGTATTGACTTCACTCATGGGGTTAATGCTTATGGATTCGATCTTGCTACTATTGTAGTTTTAGATGATAAACGAGAAGGCTTCCCTGCTGCATTCATTATAAGCAACAGGCAAGATAGTGTTGCTCTTTCTGTAGCACTTCATGCTATAAAACATATTTGTGGGAATATCTCTCCCAAGGTCCTTATGACGGATGATGCGGAATCATTCAACAACGCTTGGAAGGACACGTTCGGAGAACCTCAGAAGCGTCTCCTTTGCTCTTGGCATATGGATCGAAGTTGGCGGAAAAAACTTTCAGAATTGGTGCCAAATAAGGAAGAGCAAGCCAATATTTATAAAATCATAAGATGTCTGCTATCAGAACCAGATCTCAACACTTTCATTGTGTTAGCAGAAAATGCTGTGAAATTGTTTCAAGATAATGAAGTTTCAAAACGCTTTGGAGTTTATTTTGAAAAAAACTATTTGCGCAGAGCTGAAGTATGGGCTTATTCATACAGAAAGTGGGCTGGTCTTAATACGAACATGCATATTGAGCGTATGCATCGAACAATTAAGTGCATATACTTAGAGGGGGAAAAGGTCAAACGCTTAGACAAAACGATCCATTGCCTCATGCAATTTGTGAGAGACAAGTTGTTTGACCGACTCATTGCTTTAGAGAAAGGCAAGATATCAACGTTACGCAATAGGCATAAGACGAGTAAAAGTCTAACATCTGATATATATCCACAGAACGAAAATGAATGGGTAATACATTCTCAAACAAGAATCGGGGAAATGTATTACGTTCGTAAAGCTGATGAATGCAGTAAGGAATGCCCTTTATTGTGTAAAGAATGTGGTTATTGCATTCAAAATTTCACTTGTAGCTGCATTGATAATGCCATACAATGGAATATGTGTAAGCATATTCATGCAGTTTGCTCACAAGTTAAAGACGCCGCAGTTTCTACAGAAGTGGTAGACAACAATATCGAAACCTCTCCCGAAGATGATTTGATAATTGATGAAAATGAATTGCAGGTTATCAAAGACAATGAAAAGGATGTTCATGTCACATCGTTAAAAAGAAAAGTTGAGGATATTGATGAATTAAAATCAGATGTGAAAAAACTTCATATTGAACTGGGTAAAGTAATAGAGGAATGTGATTCCCAGGAATAACTGTTAGAACTAAAAAATATTTTGACAAAATCAAAAAATTTATTTAAACGTAAGAAAGATAAATTCTCAGTCTTATCCAATGATCCTCCAAACAAAAAAATTGCTCAACAAAGATNAAAAAATTTGACATTCTGTTTTTTATAACATGAATAGAAAAACTAACGCAAATATTTTTTATCCTGTGAGAGTGATTCTTAAGATGAACTGCTCCATCCTACGATTTGCATATGCGGAGGCAGGTTATTTCGATAATAGCATGCACGAGCAGTTCTTTTTACATATACATAGTTTCAAACCATTCAATGCACTTCGATAGAAAAGGAGCAAGCGATAGATGAGTGTCTTCGCTAAAAATATATTTCATGTATCAGATTCCGATTCTACTTTAACGTTGATCAGAGAGGCGTAAATTGCATACAGTGAGAATCGCAGTTTTGAAATTTTATCCTGAAGAATGAACGAGAAGCGGGATTTCGGCCTCTTGGCTAACAAAGATAAATGTAAGTTATCAAAAAATATGGCAACACTAAACTTCTATGTCTATTGAGCGTTTTCAAAAATGTTGCATAAGCGAGCTATAAGCTGCAAATTACAAAAAACTCCAAAACCGATCGTCGATAATCACCATCTTCAAAAATATTGTATTTATTTACAATACTTCCTTAAAAAAGTAACTTAAAATATAATTAACAACTGAAAATTAAGACGATTTCAATTATGAAAACCGAAAACATTTAAATGCACGATGAACTGTGTGTCATTTTCTATCATTCGTTTTCTTTTGCTCAAAGAAAGTATGTTAAACAATACTTATCAGAGGTTTCTTTAGTCACTCTGTACTTGCCATTTGGTAGGTACACTTTGAGCAAATACTTTTTAAAGTAACACATGTTAAAAATAATCAATATAAACAATATATTTTAGAAGCTAAACATATTTTCTCTTCATCTTAAATTTTTTAAAAATTATTATTGTACCATGACATTAAAAAAGAAAGAATGAAATCTTGCCAAATTGTTAAAATAAATTTAGTCTAATTATTTTTTAAAGACGATGTGTTTAAACAAATAACATTTTCAATAAAATACTTTTTAATGTTCACACTATTCTTGTGCTCACTTTATAAGAAGAAGAAAAAAAAAGCTGACCAGTCTTTTTACTTGGAAAGATCAGGGAGATTTGCAACTTGATTTAAGGGACTGCCCTGTTTTTATAGTTGTTTTACTGTAAACCGTTTACCAAGACCATTATTCTGCCACAGATCACAATACCAAAATCTCTCCTGTAATCCAACATTACAAAGTAAATTTTTTTTTCTCTGTATATAATTATCTAAATTCCTAAAAAGTCTGTTTTGGTAACAGTTATATATATGTATATAAATACATAGAGATACTTATCCCTTAGTTTTGTATTTGGGGAGATTTCTATATCATGTTCTGTGGCAGATATTCACCAAGTCTTGGCAGCGACCTGCACGAAACTGAAAAAAAAAACATGTTCAAAATTTATTTGGCACCTTAGCGATTGTAGTTGGCTTGACAGATTGGAAATTATGGAAGTAAACACACCACTGATCTTCCTCGCTCCTCCATTACACAAAAGAAGGTGATTTGTCAGAAATGGGTGAGACAAAAGGAATGTTAACTTTTAGAGGAACAATGAAACTGATAAGAATGTGGCAAACACTTGGACATAGTGTCCATCATATCATTAATAAAAATCCGGAAGCCGGATGACTCATGCAATACACTGTTGTATTCACCCTTTACACGAATTAACTCTTGAATTGGATGCTGAAAGTCAGATGAAGAAACGAATTAAAATTTCGATAAGGATTGCAAGTTGTTCCAAAATAAACTTCATTTCAGTGCATTGTTTGAAGAGTATGTATTGGTTGACATCAGTTTTACCTTGTGACGTGCTTACGTTAGAGGATATTTGTGATTGTACAAATGAAACAGAAGGACTGAGTGAAGTTGAAGATATTAATTGTTAAACCTTTGAAACCTTAAATAACGTCGGATAAAATAAAAAATATGGTAGGTAACTTTGTTTTTATTTATTACCTATTTTGTTTTAAATGAATAGTAATGAAAACTATACAATATATAAATAAACAAATAATTAAATAATAAAAACTCATATTTAGTAATGAATGTAATACTTTATTGTACACAAAAAAGAAATTTAAAAAAAAAATTAAACAAAATATCCAAAAATCATTCCAAACATTACAGGTGATTTCAAGAAATTTTTGAAGAAGCAGCTGTTGAACAGGAGGAATATGAGAGTAAATATATGAGAGGAACAAATAATAGAGAAAAAAAAGGGTTGCAAAAGAAAACTATGCAAATCAAAGTTATAAAATTATAATTTTGTAAAATTGTTTTGAATTAAAGAAATTTTGAATTAAAAGTTTTTAAATTATAAAAAAAAATTAGTTTCTTAAATTATCAACTAACTGGAAAACTATACTAGATCATTACCAGAGCTAGGATGTCGATCTTCTAACTATTTTAACGCTGATTAAAAAACTATTTTAACGCTTGCTATTTAAGAATTCGTAAAAATAATAAAAATTAATTAAACGTTTAGATGAAATCAATAAAAAATTCATAAAAAACCGGTCCTAATAATATCCTGTGCAGAAAAATTAAAGAAAAAAAAAATGTTATCAGCATCGTAGCCCTAGAAGCTTTACTCGTTTCCCACTTGTGGACACAAATGGGAAACGTGATCTATATAGTTTTCCAGTGTGATGTTGTGATTTGCATAATGTTCTTTTGCAATCTGTAATTTATTGTTGATGCAACGATATTTTTTCCTTTGTTGGGGTGGCCGTGCTCTGCCAGCACGTAGCATCATAATGCTACCTTCATTCTCGGCCTGAATATTTCGCAACAATGTAATCATTGCGAAAATATTCAGCCGAGATGAGGCACGTTTATTTATTTTTGAGTGCCACCCCTCAAGGTTATTATTCGTCCTCTCATTTCTACTCTCATAGTGGTTCCAAATGGACCTAAAAAATAAAAAATTATTTGAGTATTATGATATATGACAAGCAAAAATTGTAAAGCTTTGATTTCACCTAAAAGAAGATAAGCCATTTCATGAATTGGAAAAATGAAATTATTTGCCACAATTGAACCTTTTGCTAGATTTCCTTATAACTGAATATTTCATGCATCCCTAGCAGTCAGATATAAAACTATTTTTTTCTTACTTAAGAGGGCTTCTATACTTTAAATAATTTGCGATAAGTTTCTTCCACTATATAGAATCAATCTGGGTAACTTTAAAAAATATTTAAAACAAAAATTCAACCTTCATAAATTAGATATTTGATAGCGTCATATGATAAAAACATGTAACATCTTTATTTTTCAATACTGTAGTAATATATAAATTACATTTTTTAAGCTTTTTTTTTCTTCTGTAAAGCTTATTATTAAATACCAGGTTTTAAAGACATTTCAGATTTTTGAACTCTTACACTCTATACTATACTACTTGACTACTATATCTTTTAAGTTTTTTTTTTCAGCGTAGAAGATATTGTCAATGGTATGGGAGGGTGTATTTTTTCTCCATCTACGAAATGCCTTTATTTATAAGGTTAGAAAACAGAAAATTTTGTATCAAAACAGTACTCACTTAAATTTTTTGTTATTTTTGCCTTTCAACAATTAATACAACCTATTTAAATTTTCTAAAATTCATATCTAAATTTAATGCATGTTATATTATTTTAGAATAGAACTTATAGTTTGCTTATTGAAGGACAGCATGCATATCATAAGTTACATGTTACAATTTCAGTTTTTATAAGTAATAAATGAAAATACTCACAAGTCAAATTTAGATTCTCCTTCATCTAAATATGTTCTTGCCATATAATCTGTCATTTGATCTGTAGCAATCCCTGGAGGAGCTTCGTTTTCCAGCCAGATGAAAGCCTCGCCCATCATGTCTGGTGGCACTAATGGAAGTGCCACCAGTCTCTTAATCCATTTTCGTGTCACATCGTCATTTTTAAAATTGTGAACTAGCCCCAATTTTTGCACCTAAAAGAATTAATTAAAGATGAATTAAGAAAAGTTTGTCTATTTTTTTCGTATATATACCAATCTGTAACCAATGTTTGTATACTAATTTAACTAATCTACTGATGATTTTTTATTAACTATACCACATTGTAGCCAGGCCTAAAAAAAAGCTAGGATTACAGAAAAACCTTTATTTTAATTAAATATTGAGACATAAACTGTTAGAATCAAAATAGAATGTCAGATAAGTGAAAGGGAATTAAATCTGTCGGAATTTTTTAAACACTTGAGGTGTTTGACGATTTATTTTAAAAAGGAGGTATAAATTAGTTAAAATCGAAGCTCACTTTGAGTATTATAAAGCTTATTTATGAATAATTTAAAACAAATAATTACATACATTCACTTGATTTTTTTAGGAATTTTTTAAAAAAGTACATTTTCTACATCATTTGAACAAAACCTTTAAACCAATTAACATCTTAGTCAGTAATTAAATAACTAATGCAACTGAGTTACATGTTTTTGCTTACAGCAAATTCTTAACTGTAATTTTCATTCCTGGCAACAACAAAGTTAATGTGTATTTCATATAAAACATATAGTTTTTATACTTAAAAGCTTATGTATTTATTTTTATCAAAGCAATAACTTTTTATGATTTAAAATACTCTTCATCTCGTTATTTAAATAACACAGTAGATTTCACCTTAACATCCTGAATGAGAGTTCACTAACTGAAATCAATGATAACATAAATTAAAATTTTCTGACAGCTTATATTTACCTTCCTCCAAACATTTTGAGCAAAGTGGAAGTAACAGCCCTTGACTGAAATATCTGGAAATGCTTCATTTAGGGCTGACATTACTCCCACTTCAAAATCTAACATACTGGTGGCAGGTGCAAAGTTGAGGCCAATGTCTCTTGCTTTGGCTTTCATCTGCTGGAAAAGACGGAGGTATGTTTCCTTCCTCTTATCTTGGAGTAGAGCGAATGCAAAGGGAAACATTACCCCCATAAACCTGGCATGGATGGTATAGAGCTGTGTGAAAAGAAGTGGGACTATTTTGAAAGTACCATCCAGCCAGATTTTATCTGCTCCACACAATACCCTCAAATTTTCCTCTGTACAGAAAACCTGTAAAAAATGTTATTTGTCTTTTACTATACATATATTATGTCAATGCATCTTCATGTAATACTATGAAACTTTTGGTCAGCATTAAAGAAGAGAAAACAAAAACAGATTTTACTTTTTGTGATCTGAAACGATCAAGTTTTAAATATATGATATCCATTGATAATTTTTAATAATAAAAATACATTTTGATTTGTATTCATACTCTATATTTAATTTGTACATAATTTTTCTTTCATAGTTTTATTGATACATCTATACACATGATTTTAAAATGACTTAGTTAATTTTTTGAAATAAAAATTTCAGTTATTAAGTCTTATAGCCATTTTTTAAAACCTCTTTCGTGTCATTTTTGGTATCGGTGTTCGAGACAACAAGTAGTCTACTAGTTTGAGACCACTAAATCCCCTTTTGACACAACTATGAAATAAAACACGCTGGCCATCCACCAATTTTTCTCTTAGATAATTTTTTTTTTAATTTTACAAATTTAAAATATTTACTAAGTAGAGTTTCCTTTCACATCTATAATATTTTTTATAAGTTAGTAAATAAATTCAACAAGTAAATGTTTATGGATTTTTCAACAAATTTTATAATTTTAATCTCTTAATTTAATAAGAGATATAATTAATGCTTATTATCTCTTATTTTCTTAATTTAATAATTTTAATCTTTTAAGCATTTTATGACATACTGCACAGTGCAGCAGGACACATTATATTAAGTTAACAATAATCATTACTGATTATTGTTATTATTACTGTTATAAATTAAGTTAAAAATGAAACCAATGTCATCAATCATTATTTTATTAAATTTTAAAATCAATTTTGTATGATTAAACAAGTTTTATTCCAAGTAAACTAACAAATGTGATGTTATTATGGAGCATAAAAATGATTATAAGTGATGTACAATCATAGCTGCCAATCAAGTAGATTTTATTAAATATACAATTAATCATAACTGTAGCAAACTGTGAATTATGTTTACTTGTACTTTCGAATAGGCATATAATTCAGATTTTTTAATATATGTAATGTAAGGTTTAAACTGATTTCTATAAATGAGGGTTGCTTCATTATATATTAGTAATAATTATTTAAATATTCAAGCAATAATCTGTACAAAAATTCTATTTCAATATAGATTTTTTTTATGAAACTTACTCAGTTTTAGGCTATTATAATTTCAGATATTTTTTTTTAGCTTTACAATATTTAGATATTATTGCTTTTATATTTACCAGAAATCTTTCTTTTCCTTGGCCATCATCTATACAGAGGAATTTTCGGCCATCTGTTGTGTTCTGCCAATCTTCTGTTAGGTTAATTTCATCTACATTATGTGGCAAGGCAGGTATGAGAGCATGTCTGGCCCTGTACATCTTCTTTATTAGAGTGGTGAATCTGGGTATTGTGGCAGCAGCCTCCAGGGATGTTGCATGTTTTCCAACTGCTTCACTATTAAAATAAACAAAGTAAAAATCAACTTCAAATCAAATTATTAAGTGCTGTAATTATATATTAATTAATATATATTAATGTTATAAAAGAAATTTTATAATATTAATAAAAAATGTTATAAGTTTTTAAAATCAAAAACCCAACCCTGAATTTAAGATGTCGATAGAATAATTTCCTCAACAAAACTTTATGTTAATAAAATATTAAAAATAGAACATTGCTTAAAATTAAATTTCTTTATTCTTAGTTTGCATATATTTTTAGTTTTACATACTAAAATTAATTATTATTTTGAAAATTTTAATTTTTTTATCAATAGGGTGGGGGTGGACACAAGAGAATATATATATATATATATATTATCAAAATAAAAAAAGAAACTTTTTTGAAATTAGTTTGCATATGTTTTTAATTTTAGTTACTAATGTTGATTACAATTCTGAAAATTTAAATATTTAACAGAGATTTATCAATAGGGTGAGGTGGACACGTGCGAATTCACTATATATATATATATATTATTAAAATAAAAAAAGAAAAATTTTTAAATTATTAAAATAGATTATTAAGTAAAGATATAGATACATTGCTTTTTGTGCGACCTTAAATTTCCTTTTAGATAGTATTTAAATAACAATATATTATTTCATGCTTCATATAAAATTATATGACGAAATTTTAACTATAGATGTGTAAATTCCGTTAAAAAAGATTTTAGATATTTTATTTTGATTTCTTTATTTTTAATTTATTTGACCACATTCATAGTGAATTCCTACTTTAATTGATTACCATTATTGATAGTGAAGTCGTACCTCAATTTTCACTGGCAGATTAATATACAATAATATATAATTAATATTAATCTAAAATTATTTAGCTAATTAAATGTTATACGCATAGTTCTTAAAAATATTTAATTTTTATTAAATTTAACAAAATATAAATGCTAGATTTTTTTTATCCTTATTCGGAAACAAATGTAGTTAATTAAAAATGAACTTTACATTCATTATAAAGACAATCAAATAAAGACTTACTCGTACAATCTCTTGACAGGAACAGTATTTTGTTCAACAGCTTGTCTTTCCATTGCTATCGTAAACTCACATTCCCTGATCATCTTCGAATCATCTTCGTGATTATGGTGTCCTGCTTCAGAAATTATCTCATCGTTATGTGTTCGAAGTCTTGCGGAGCAANGATGAAGAGATTTCACACGCGAAAATCCAGCAATTCCGAGACAGCTAACATGAAATGTGCCGATGCACATTTCACGTACTTATGTACAAAACAGATATGCGAGCAGGCCAAATGTATCAATTGCCGTGATGAGCAACGAGCTTGTTTTCCCAGGTGCATTGCAAGACTCAAAAGAAAACTGAGAGGAGACCCAGACAAGAGAAACAAACCCTTCGAAATACATATGTGATTCCTACTATTCTCCAAGAGGATGCAGCCGTTGCTGAAGGACCAATTACTTGTAAACTCGGTGAAGTCAAATATGTAGAGATCATCCCACGAGCCCGATCCCACCAAGACGTCCACAGTCCTCCTGTGGAAATTCTCATCACTTTTAAAAGCTAATAGTCACCGTTGCCCTAGGGCAAAACTTACATATGCTTTGCGGGCAGATATTTGAACCCCACCCTATCTAGTCTAATAAAATTACCACAAAATATTAAAACGCTCCTCAGCAAGTATACTTGCGGATGTAGCTGGGAGGACACTGCATGTGAAGAGAAGGATTCTTATTAGTGTAAATATTGTTTATAGACTTATTCCATTTTTTTTATAGTTTTTAATATATCGCATCCCTGCAAGAAAAGTGACACAAGTTTAAAAAAAAGTAATTTTGAGGTTATGTCAATAAAAAATAAGTATGAAGCTCCCCATCAAGCTCAAATAGTGTCACACCTCTAAATCGGAATTCATCCAGCTGAAGGTAGTTGTGTGTCTATTTCAGAATTAGTTTTATAGTATTCTTCGCAATACTTCCCCTCTCAATGCCAGCATCTAATCCTTTTTCTTTGGGAGCTTCATCTGCAGATAAATTTTTTTGCAACTTGATAAAATTATTTCAGCATTCAAAACTTCATAGTTTACTAAGTTTCTGTGTATTCGCCTCTTTTTTGCATTAAATTTTAAGTTATTGATGGAGTTGAAATATCGTTAATTGTGTTATCCTCTAGAAATCCGTTTTTTATCAAAATTCATTCAGTAAATCCTTCGTTTTTTTAGCACGCGTACAAAAACTATACATTTCAATCTTCCAAAACATATAATTCATAACTATTTTCTTCAATTAAAAAATGGGTTATCATCAGAGAAAGATGAAAAAATAGCAGAAAAATTTGAGAAAAGAGCCTAAACCGCGCCTCTTGCTTGCTCTCCCTTCTTTTACCTCAATGCTGCATTTTAAAATCAGGAAACTGTCCTTGCGGAGGAGAACTAACTATCGAATGGAAAAAGTGATGACACTGTCCTTGCCGAAG